TTTGGTATCCTCAGCCAATAGCATAATAAAACACGAGATAACTTTTTTATGTATTATTACATTATTGACCGAAAATAGCAAAACAATGTTATTCCCTTATAAAGAAGTTTTTCTGCTTGTAAAGACACACGAATTGATTGCTTCTACTTAGGGATTGGGGTGGAGGGGACCACCAATATGGACTACAATGGTAGAGTAATTGGCTTGATTTTTGGCTTTTCTTAGAGTGATTGGAGTTTTAAGCAAACAAAATATTATTTGACACCTCACCATATACGACTAAATTAAGGTCCACAACTTTGCATATCATGAAGATTGAAGATTGAAGAGAGGGTTAATCAGTAGATCGACTAAACCTAGGTCTAGGTTTGGCACCTCTCTCTAATCATAATTACTTTCAAAGCCATGCAGCACAGCACATATCCACTAATTACATTTCACCACATATTAATTAAATATCACCAATGCCCATGAATTGAGGAAAAAAATTTGAGGGATGGGTGGGGTGAAACACCTTTGAAGTACTTATCAAAATCATATGTCACTAATTATTTCCCCATTTTAGAACAAAGTCAAGCCACAATAATAATGAAATTGAAGTATAGGCTAAATAGCCGAACAAACACATGCGTAATCATATATTGGGCCAAACCCAATATGGGTTTATTAATTTCCAAAACCAGCACTAAAAGTAGGTTGAATTGTAGTCACTAAAAATCAGTGGGGTATAGTTTAGTTGATTGAGATATTCCACCTCCACTCATTTAGTCAAAGGTTTGAAACCCCAAGCACCCAATGAATTCAGATCAATTCAACTCGTTGTTGCATTTGATCACTAGAGAAGTTGTATCATATTCAGCACCTTAGTTGCTCTGTACTTGTTTTTGTTTATCTTATTAATAAAATACTATCGCTCTACTTTTATAAAAAATATATATATATATTTATGTAAATCCCCTCTCCTAATCGCTTGTATTAAAATAAAATAAAAAATTCATAGGCGCTAAAAATAAATGTTTTGTCGTTCAAGTTCCTTAACAAGCACTATTGATAATGGACATAAGAGTTTAAGCAACAACGTAATCAAATCAGTGTAAGATTACCAAACCACATTATAATTAATTATGAAGGAATGATAATTTATGTGCATGCTCGAATAAAAATATATAGGATGAGAAACATGACCTGTTGACAGCTTGTTATACAATGAGTGATTCACCCTTCTCACTACCATTATATATGCTAGCTCTTAATTAGTATTTTTTTCATTCCGACAATTATACTATAAATTATCATCATCACAACTAATTTATATTTTCAGAAAGTGGAAGCAACCTCCATCAACATCGCTCTCTCCCCCTAATCCCATGTCCATTTACATGGATTTGAGGCTACCAACGTGCAACATGTGGAATTTTAGTATCTCTCTTTATAAAATAAATCAGTGTCAACGGGATTTAGCCTAGTGAAAAAAGGATTTGATTTGCAGACTAGAGATTTCATGTTTGAATCTCGACGGTATCATAGTTGTGTGTATTTGTGTGAAATTCTCTCTCTCCTTTAATTTAGACTATCGCTTGTACTAAAAAATAAAAAAATTAAAAAAAATGTTTTAAGGGCACACCCAATTAGACAATTGTCCTTATTAATCCCCAACATTCTCAAGGCCCCACGGGACGGGCGGCATGAAACTTCCATACTCAATTAAGTCCTTCCTCAGCTGAATTAAATTATAACATAAGCTTGGTATTAGATTCTCTAATGATATGGTTCAATTAACCAGAAATTTATGCTACGGCAGCCGCATGCTGGTGGGGTTATGGCCCATTTAGAACCGCAGAACATTATTGACATACCAAAATTCCAAATCAACAGGATGGGTAAAATCAAGCTGAATGAATGAATGAGTGAGATGCTTAACGTCTTAATGGGAATAATTATATCCCATAATCACCAACTTTATGAGTATAAATATAGAACCACATGCTGTTGCATGAGCATTATTTATTTAATTTCTGCACAGATTTTTTTTTTTTTTTGGGGGTAAATATCACGAGACACACCTATATATCCTTTTATTATCACTAATGGAATTGCGATTGTGATTGGGTGAGCCAAAGAGTATGCCGACTTTATTATAACTTTGCCTGCCTCCTCATTTCCTCACATTTTCATTACATGCATGACACATCAATTATGGTAAATTAGCACACAGCAGGTACATGCATGCATGATGGATAAGTCACCAAATGGAATACGTCGTTCTAGAAAGCTACCATTCGCATTCTTCCTCCTGCCAGTGCCACTGTGCCACTGTGCCACACATCATAAGATTCCATGTATGGTATATCTCTAGATGAACAGTTAAATTCCACAAAATTGAAGTTCAAATAGGGAAATTTTGTTATATGTTCTGGATACACTAAGTGCTCATATGTATATAAATGGCTTGACCAGAAAGAAAAGAAAATGGATGGGGAGTGAGATGTTTGTCTGGACATGGTCATGGTGCATGGCAAATTGGCAATGGTGATGGGTACAGTTGGGTTGGCTTGGATCAGAGATGGTCCCCGTAATCCCCAATCTCTTTCTATATATATATATATATATATATATATATATATATATATATATATATATATATATATATATATATATATATATATATATATATATATATATATATATATATATATATATATATATATATATATATATATATATATATATATATATATATATATATATATATATATATATATATATATATATATATATATATATATATATATATATATATATATATATATATATATATATATATATATATATATATATATATATATATATATATATATATATATATATATATATATATATATATATATATATATATATATATATATATATATATATATATATATATATATATATATATATATATATATATATATATATATATATATATATTTATATATCTATACAATTGACCTATATGAGTGGCCCTCTAATTGTCCATGAGGTCCAGCTACCACCACCATCATCATCATCATAATTCAAACTATTCACAAACACTACCAAATTAATTAAGATAATGTTCAGTTTTGGATAACCATTGGGTGGGCTGGGTGGGTTCAAATTTGGCTAATTAGTTTAAGTTGCACATTCCCTTTAGAAAACCTACATAATATAGGGTGTTAATAAATAAATTAAACTCAAGTTGTAGGATCTATCTAAATCACCCGAACATGCTATACCTATATATATATATTGGTTTCCCAGATTACTTTAATTCTGCTGCTCAGTAGTCAATAGTCTTACACCTGCTGCTGATAGAATTAATAATATCTGATCTCAATCTAGTAAAGACCAACATGCATGATAGATAGTAATATTTTTTTAATGACCAAATTAAAGGTTAGGTTTAAGTAACAGTGTAACGGGCAGAGATAGAGAGAGAGAGAGAGAGAGAGGGAAGAATAATGATGGGTTGTAGGGAAGGAGGAGAAGATCCCTTGGGACACTACAAAATCCGTTTGTTCCCCAAACGTCTATGCTTTTGTGTGTTACTTTTTTTATTTTCCATTTCTCTCTTTTTCTCTTTACCAGCTCATGAGCTGCCCACCACATGCTTCTGCTTCTGCTTCCGCCTGCACTATGCTTTGGTTTTCCACCCTCTCTCTCTCTCTCTCTCTCTCTCTTTGTGACACCATTAACGGTTTTTTTTTTCCTTTTTTTTGGTCTCTGTAATATATTGCCAAACTGGGAGGGGGGGTGGTAGAGAGAGGAACAAGAAGTGCAAGGTACAGCAAGAGCCCTCGAGAATAAAGCGTGGTGGTCTTTCTTTGTTGTGTGCTTTGAGTAGTCTGGGATGTAGACAGCCACATGGTGCCCTCTCTTGTCTCTTTCTCTTTGGAATTTTCACCCTTCCCTATTTCAAATGAATATTTCCCTCCTTCATGCATACATATATCTTGTACTTATTATATACACCCTTCTTCTTTGTTTACATGTTGGTCGGTTAGGTTGGTCCGAGCAGTGAATCCGCTTCTTGCACTCAAATGCGAATTTCTCTTCTTATAAATTAGATTAATTTAAAATCCGTTGTTATTTTATTACTTCTGTACTATTAGCAAAGTCATGCTTAAGCCTAATGTGGAGAAAGATGTTAACATTGATTATACATGCAAATACCTAATTGCAAAAACATGCGTCTACGAGTACTTTTCTATTACAAAATCAATAACATATTTACAAGCTCGTTTTCATGTTGTTGAGAAATCATTTTCCACAATATGGTGTCCCGTCAAATTAATAATTACATGATTCAATTTGGATGATTAGATATTGTTGTGGAAATGGGGATATGTAACATGTTGATACATGGGAGCTGAGGGCCAGCCATATGTACTATATATATATATATAGTGTATATATAATATATAATAATTTATTAATTAGGTGCCACAGCCACACAACAATCAACGTGGTGGTGACCCCATAATTAAATAAGTAAAGTAAAAGAAAACAAAAAAGAGGAAGTGGGATTTGCTGTGAAGACTGCATCGAATATTGGGCTCTAGGGATTCCCTCTATACTTATCTAATTTACTTGCTGCTACTATCTCTATGCAAAATTAAGGAATGTATGTTATGTTGTTAATCATATAGGAATGTGTAGTCGTAGCTAGTCTCTCACTCATGTTATTAATTCTCTCTCTCTCTCTCTCTCTCTTTCTTGAACCTCCCAAAGATTCATTTCTAATGCTACATTATCTCCCTGTCCGCTTCTCGGATTTCGAATGCCCTCAATATTCTTCCCCATTAAAATAATCGGCCTTCTCAAAATCGATTTTAGACCTCTACAACCCCATCACGTGAAAATTAGATTCAAAGTAATTAACCCTTAATTAACTAATTACAACTAGTTAATTAATTTCTTCTCTCATGTAATCACACGACTTGGTCATTCTCTCTCTCTCTCTCTCTCTCTCTCTCTCTCTCTCTCTCTCTCATAGTCATAATATTTCAACCCCATCAAGAAAGACTCACGTCGCCACCTGCTCTTTGTCTGCTTACTCTTTGTTTCAACGATTCCTTCTCAAACAGAAACATGTTGAGCAACTGTGATCATGAGAAGATGGTACTCATCTCTTCAACTACTAACGAATGGCCACAGGTTCACCTCTCTCTCTCTCTCTCTCTCAATTTCAATTATTAGACAAAACATGACAACTTTTGTTGCTTAGCTCTTGGAAGAGAATATTTATCCTGTGTTGTTCTTTTTACCCTAACACCACTGCCTAAACCCTCTTTCTTTCCTTTTTCCTTTCACAAAAAAATTCTGTAGATGCAGCAGCAGCAAGATAATATTCAAATCGATGATCACCATCAAAAGGGCTTGAACAATAACATGCCCTCATCAACATCATCACCAGCTACTCGGATAATGGAGAAACCAGGCCAAGAGCAGCTCCAACTACAGCAACAAGCCCTCAAGTGTCCACGCTGCGATTCATCAAACACCAAGTTTTGCTACTATAACAACTACAGCTTGTCTCAGCCAAGGCACTTCTGCAAGGCCTGCAAGCGCTACTGGACCAGAGGGGGGACTCTCAGGAACGTTCCGGTCGGCGGTGGGTGTAGAAAGAACAAGCGTGTGAAGAGGCCTGGCTCATCATCGTCATCAACCATGGATGGAGCTTCTTCTTCTTCTTCTTCAGTTCCTAGCAACACTGCTAACAATAATAATAGTAATTCAAACCCTCCTTCACAACCATCCCAGATAGATCAGATAAACCCACTGTTTTATGGGTTGCCTAGTAACCCTTTTATGGACAGTCCAAGTTCCGCTTCTGGGTTTGATCTTCATCAGTTGAATCATCATCATGCTCAGCTGGGATTAGGGTTTTCATCAGCAGGTACTTTCATGTCTGGTGATAATTATCGAAACAGGTTTAATCCCACATCGAATTCATCACTTCCTTCTTCCAATTATAGCTCCATTTTTAGTACTTCTGCATCTACTACCACCACCACTCCAACTATGGCTTCTGTGCTTGCTTCTAAGTTCCTCAATGGGGGTAGTTTTAAAGATATTCAAGCTAGAGGGCCTAATCATCACCAGTATTTCCAGTCCTTGCTACCCTTTGAAGACCTTCATATAGCAGCCGGCAATACCGGTGAGGCTGGTGGTGCCGCGAAAGATGTGAAAGTTGAAGATCAGGCTGGCCAGAACAGGTTGGAGTGGAATAATAATAGCAACAACAATAATGTGAATGCTAATATGAATTGCCAGAATCAGATGACAGAGCAAATGGGGCTCTCGGATCCCAGTCTCTACTGGAGCTCAACGACTCTTGGTGCTAATTGGCATGATCCCTCAAATCTTGGGTCCTCAGTCTCTTCTCTGATCTAGCAAAAGCCAAATTCATCAACATCATCATTTTTCAATTTCATCATTATCTCAAGTGATTTTGGTTCTTTCTTAGCTTTAGGTTTTCTTAGTTGGTTGGTAATTGGTTTTTATTACTGGGTGTGGGTTTCAAAAAAGTTGAAGAAAAAGAAAAAAAGAAGAAGTCTAGGGTATAGTTTCATAATATTATTGAAGCGAGGACGGCAGGAGCTGGGATCGGAGTGTTCATGTCAGCAGCAATTAGAGAATTAATCAGCCTCTTGATCAGTTTTATTAATCAAGGTTGAGAGCCCCCCACCAAAATTGCGCTGAGAGGAACCTCGGATCTTCTTCGTCTCACTGCCTCGAATATCAACTATATATCATCAAGATCATGACTAGAGAGCTTCTTCTAGTGCAGTAAGTTGGTGTGTTTGTTTTGTATATGTATATATAATATGCATGACACTGTTTCCTAATTCTCGTATGTATTTGTTATTAGCTAGGTTGGGGGTGGTGGTTTTACTTGTGTTATCAGGAAGGAGAGGAATGAACTAATAATTTATTTTTAATTTCTTACTTCGTTCTTGGGGATGGGATGGGTGTGTTTAGAGGGAGGGGGGAAATGGGGTTAATTGGGTATAATGGTATACAAGAGAAGAGATGGGAGACAATTGTTATTGCAATGTGGGTACGTAATTAATTTATATATATATGTTGGTTTTGTTTAAAATATATGTCTTTTCTTCGACTTGATTAGTTTCTGCCATTTTCATTGTAGTTGATGTTACTGGTTTTGAATTTTGGATTATGAGAAAGAATAAATGCTGATATTTTCAAACCAAAACAATAATAGATCTGTCAATAGTACTACTCTACTATTGCATGATATATATAAATTGTAGCTGACAGTTTATAGATTAGCATGAGATTCATGTGAACCTCAAGAAAAGTATATTGGATTTCATTTATCGGAATTATTCTTTCTATGGAGACAAATATATATATATATATATATATATGGATTTTGAAGGTACGTTCCTTGGACTATAGTATGCTGGCTGTAGTGGAACTATTTATTCTCCCCGTATATATAGTACTATAGCTAGTAGACACATATGGATCATGGAGTGGTGGAGATTCTTTATGCACGTTCATGATGAACATTTCACATGGCAATAACTAAGATAAGCTGAATAAATGTATATCGAATTCGACACAGGGGTATATATATATATGCTGCTGCCTCATTCTATATTTAGCTAACTAGTATGTCTATGAGATTATCTTATATGGGTTAGAGCAGTCGGTTAAGACATGACAGTGTACTCATCTTTTTATGAGAGAGAAAGAGAGAGAGAGAGAGAGAGAGAGAGAGTTCTTGAATTCGTGTATGCCGATTTAAAAGGATTGGCTGAGGTTGAATATTGGTACGAAAAAACTTAGGTTGAAAATTTTGATAAGCTAATAATTAGGTGCAGTTTTATGTCTATCACGGTATTATGGTTATTCACTATGATATGATATATTACGCACCCTTCGTGAGTGGTAGACAACTGGTAGTGCACTCCTTCAAAAAGCTGCCAATTCATGATCTCCTCTCTCGGCATTAATTGCTCTCTTTCCCCCTTTTTGGGGATAGTATTGGTCAATCAGCACAAGTTATAACTTTTCTACTTAGTATAGCGTAATGGACTAGAAATGGCAAAACAGTGCCATACCCGTTTCATGTAAGTTTTTTTGGTCCTTTAAACTTCAAATGTCTTATGAGACCAAAATCATGGAAAAAGAGGGAGGAGGGCCTTATTAATTAGATTTTCTGTAGGCAAAGAACTCTGAACTTTATGTTGTCAATTGTTCTTTCTCGTTACACAAAAACCCTAAAGAAATATATATTAGACAGTTGAGTAGATAGATAAATAATGTGCTTATAATTAGGATGAAATTTCTGCCTGAATTATACGCGTGTTTTTGGGTCCTTATTGCAAGCTTTGTACGTGGGTTTAGTCTAGGCAAGTTGATAGAAGTAGTTAAAATGAGGCATGATGTAGTTGTGATTTTGAACTTGTATAAGATAGGATTGTATGGAAGAGGTAAAAAGTATGGGTTTCTGTGGTGGGAAGTGCTTCTGGTCCTGGTCCCAATATTGGCTGAGGCAAGTAAGTACTTTACTGGTCCCGATCAAGGCTTGGCTCCAAGAATGGTATTATGAAGAAGCCTCCATGTATTTGAAAAAAGCAGCCAACTGATGGCAACATAGCGTGGCGATATGTTTTCTGGATTGAAATTCCGTGATGAGGGCATGCATTGATATTGATGATGTAACCAATATATCAAGAATCAAAATCAAAGACGACCATATTATATATTGCTAATCAAATCATATATGTGTGTGTCCACACAAAAGCCATACATATTCAGATATATATGACTTCATCCCATCAATAGTTTTGATTGAAATTGTGGACCCTAGAATGGGCAGGTGCATTGTATCTTTGCAGTGTAGCCCTTGTGTGTTGGATCAAGCTGAAGTAAGAACTTACTTAGAACATTTTCACCCATTTACCATGGCAAAAGGCAAGAGAAGACAAGGGTTGGTACTATTTAGATGAATAGTGCTTGACCTAGCAATTTTTTTGTTGGTTTTCCATCCATTGCCAACTACTATTCACATGAGATATGAGGAGAGGAATTTGTTAGAGTTTTGGTGTGGGAAGTGAATAATATGGCAAGCTATTTATATATAAATTTTTTTTGAAATTTTTGGTATATTTTCAAAAAAAAATTTGATTTTTTTAAATAAATTTTTTCGTTGTTGATGTCATCAACAGCCCTAAGGCAACAGCTCAGGTTGTTCTTGCCTTCAGGCATGCCAAGGCTTGTGGAGCCCATGCCTTGGCTGGGTTGTTCCGTACTATTGGAAACTGTTTCTTGGGCCTAGGCCCCCCTTTGTCCAGATTGGGGGGCCGCGGTGGAACTGCTCTTAGGCCCAGGCAAAGGATCTTAGAGTGATCTTTTAGTAACTTGATGAATAGGCGTGCCACTATTGTAGCTCAGTTAAGCCCAATAGAAAGATGTTTTACTGTTTTGCAGTTTGAAATGCTTAGGATTCAAGCTCAATCTTTTAACTGCTAATCAAAGCCACATTGTGCTCCAAGTTGGCTCAAATTGGTTCTTTTTAATGCCTTGTATACTTAAGGATTTCAATATTCTATTTTGTGCGCTGATATAGAAAGATTGATTACAATAAGGTGTAAATCAGGCAATAAATCCCAAATCGAGCAAGCTTACCCCAAATCAAGCAAGCTTTTCTAATAAGAAAAATACTGTTATTCTGCCCGTTTTGGGTTTTGTAAAATATGTGATGATAAACAAATGATTTATAAACTTAAAATAAGTGAAAATGCAATTTTGGAACTAAAGATTTCTCTATTTAGCCCAGTACATAAAGATTTAAATATAAACTAATGAACTTAAAGATACTTAACCAAGCGTTGGCAGAGCAAATAAATTAATGGCATGTTTACTAATCCATAATTAGATTAGGAGGAATTGAATTGAGGAGGAGTTCGATTGAGGAGAATTAGATTCCGGATTCCTATTGAAGTTGTTTACTTAACCATATGGATTGAGGGGAGTTAAATTCCGGATTCCTATTGAAGTTGTTTACTAAATCATAAGGAATTGGGGTAGGAGTGGTACTAATTACTAAAATATCCTCGTTGTTAGGTTAAAGTAGATGACAATTTGGAATTTTAAAAATTGTGTGAGGATATAATGAGTAAAAAAGATGAATTCCTAATGGGTTAGTTCTCTAGGAATTAGAATACCACATCCCACTCAAGAAATGAATTCCTCCAAAATAAGAAATTATGTGGGCCCCACTTACTTTTTAATTCTGTGATGTGAAGTAAATGTAGGAATCCTCCATATGTAGAATTCAATTCCTGATTAGTAAACACACCATAAAAGATATCTCAGGAATTGTCAACTGGAATCTTTATACAAGAGAAATGCATTTGAGTTCAATGAGATCAATTGTTGGTCGAGTTTGAAGCCTTTTTCTGAAAGAAAAGTTGTGTCATGTGTTTTTCCAACTCGCTTGATGAAGATGAGTCTGTTGTTTCTTTTGTGGGTGACCTGGTAAACTTGAGTGCTTTAATCCTTGCGCTGACATTGAGAATATGTTTCAGCATGGTCCTTTTCCGATAACTTAGTTCAGTAGGTTTCCAAAGCTGAAATCGCATTTGACCCAACGCTTTATTAAAGACTTCAACAGTCCTTAATGGGCCTATTTTCATTTCTGGTCCAAACAGAAATATATTCGGATATTAGTGATACAGTGCCAGACAGACTTGTATGTATATCTTGTGTTTTCTTGTGTTCACTTAGGTAAGGGCCCCCAATGACCAACTAGCCCAGTGGGTGAGTGTTCATGTCCAGATGTCCAGTGGTGGTGCCTATGCCTAACAAATCCATTGTTTTGGAATGCAGGTGCCGTCTCCCGCTGCTGCCTCATTCTGGCTTAATTGTTTTCATTTATATATATATATATATATATATATATATATATA